TGTAATTAGGCAGCGATCACAAACAAATGAGCCTTTACACAGACTAAACTCCAGAGTGCGTCCCCTTGTGTTGTTTCTAAAAACTTTATTTTCCATCTCACACACCCACCAGGTTAAAGATCTAATTATATTTAAAAAAAATCATATTTAGACTTTGATTCTTGGCAGTTATTCAGATGTGACAACAGCGTAAGCCTGCACAGGTTCAGTTTCAGCCTAAAACTGAACCTGCTGATAAATACGACTGACAATGCAGTTGGTTAAATGAGGGCAAAAGCAAATAAAGGGAAGTAAACAAGGTGAGACAATGGCAGAGGGTAGGGAGCAAAAAGGGAAACTACCAAGCAAGGAACAAGGAGAGACGACCAGTCAGTTGGGTGACACGTTACATAACTCTCTCACTGTATTGATTGCTGTGCTGATTTGGCCTCTAGCCAATATTCATAGCATTTGTAATTATTGAGCCGAAGCCCAGACCGAGTGAAAGCGCGAGAGAAAGAGACTGAGATTCTGAGGGCAGATAGACGGCAACCGTTAGAGAGGACTGCAAAGAAGCGAGAAATAGAGGTATGAGTGGAGAAAGGGTGAATGATAGCCATGAATTTTGGGATGTAGCCAAAGTGACACCAATAAAGAGAGCAAAGAGAAAGGAAGCAGCGTCAGATAATGAAAAGAAACAGAGGGAAACAGAGAGAGCATGTTTGAGAGATCATTTAATTGAGTGAGATGGAAATAGCCTAGTTGTGGGAGAGAGGAAACAAGTGTGAGCTGGGATGAGGAGATAGCGACAGATCGAGGGGAGGCGGGGAAAAAAAAAAGTGTGTCAGTGAGTGCAAGGCAGGTTATTCTTGCTGCTGTAATCAGTACTGTTATATAAGCTTGTAGCACTGGGCAGAACAGCCTGAAGCACTGGATCTGCAGGACAGACTGGGTTTACTGCACGCACACGGTGCGCACAGTTCGCCTTCAAACACTTTACAGTAGGAACAGAAAGTGCCTGCGGCCACATATGCTGCATATGAACCTCAACATCGTTCGCAGGTTGCTCTGAGAGTACATCTGCCTGGGTGCATTTGAAAATACACGTTTCCTCTCTGCCTCAGACCAAAATTTCTGCTTTTTCTTTTTTCTGCCTCCAAAGCGGATGAATATCAAACACCGGCTGGTTTCGTGTTTCAAGTTTTTGTCGATTCAGCATCTCAAAACCTGTCCTTCCTAACTCATGCAGGTTAGGGGTCAGAAGTTTCTCACTTTAGCACTTTTCAGGCACGGACGCCTCGTCAGTTTGATGAATTGATGTCGTTCTGTCCACAAACTTACTCTGCCACATGCGATATGTAATTACAGGAATGCATTCACACACTTAAGTACAGTTTAGTAACAGTAATCATGAAACTGCAGGTTTTAAAAAACAGCTCAACTGTTTCTGTTTACTATAAATCACCAAAATCAGACCTACGACCCACTTTGATCTTCAATCACCCCGACCAATTCCCCTGTCAGAGTGAAGACGTGCAACTATACCTTTACAGTGCAAATTTCAGTCTTTGCACAGTTTTTCTATTGTGGTAAGTAAAAGGAAATGAGAGAAATATCTCAGCGCAACTCTTTGGGCTTTGGGGAAGGGTCAAAACATGAAAACAGTCCAAAGTCCAAAATTTAGGCCATCATTCGCATTTTCCAAAGCCGCCCAGTGGGCCAGTTTGGAGTGTTTGCTGGGCCGAATCTGGCCCCCGAGCCTTATGTTTGACACCCCTGCTGTAAATAATCAATAAAGTTAACACTATCTTCCTCCATGCACAAATGCATGTGTTGCCTTCCTAAACCGTGTCTTTAAGAGGTCACACAGTAGAGACATGAGTCTCCTGGTCGTCACTGTAACATCATCCATCATGTGCTGGGTTAAAGTTACTGGGTCGGACCACGCGGGAATACATGAAAGTGAGCAGGGTGTGCATTCGGACATGAAGCTGAAACATTCAGAAGTGGGCAGATTAAAGGACAGAAGCCATCAATGGCTACTGCAAAATAACCAGCATGCATGTTTTCTGTTATTCATCTGACAGCAAAGAAGTAAAATTTCTAAGTCAGGAGAGCAAATTCTGGCTCTAGCTGTATCAACACAGTGGAAGGGGGTGGAGCTACTCAGCTAAAACTCTGCTGCGTCTGTTCACTGCTGCCAGATGTTGGCTATGCTATGGCTACTCTATTCACTCTGCAGGTTTTTATGACCTAAAGACAAAGAAATCAACAAGTGTGGATGTATCCCCACACGCAGTTAACTAACAGTCCCGCTCTCCCTGTTGTAATCCTTCATCCGGGGGCCTCTCCTTCCTCCCCGTCTTCCGTCCTTCGCCCCCTCTGGCACTTCCTCCGTTCTATGACATCTCTCTTTCGCTCCCTCGTTTTCCATCTTTGGATGAACTATAGACGGATGAGGGGAAGGAAGCGCAGATAAAGGCATAAAACTATATTAATGAAATGAAAGAAGCACAGAGAGGGAGGAGACGGGCAAGAAGATGGAGGAGAGAAGAAGCAGGGAGGGAGACAGAGAGGTTGTGATGGAGCAGATTTTCCTGATGCTGGTGAATAATTTACTTTATTCTCTCTCTCTCCCCCTTTTTTTTTTTAAAGATATAAAGATATAATCAACTGGGGATGGGGGGGTGGGGGTCTGATTAATTGACAATTAATGTTTAACGAGGCACAGCTGTGTTCATTTAATACTAGTTTAGGCTTTGCCTCTCCTTGCACCCCCTCCCTCTTTGTTTCCCTGAAATGTGTTGCACTCTTCTTCTGCTGTTGATTCTTTGCCACAACAAGTTCAACTGGAAGGATTACCAGTGCGTTTAGCAGTCACTAAGAAAAGCAACTGATTTACCCTGTGAGTAGATGCAAAGGCACCACAATAAGCGTCAACACTCACACACACACAGAGCTAAAACAACCCTTCTCTGCGAAGACGCATGTACGTCTCCTTTTGTACGACTACAATACTGCTCTTTAAGAAAGGCCTGCTTCCTTGCCAAGAGTTAGATCAGAAGAAGAGTGCAACTGACAAGTTGTGGTTTTCCAAAGGGTTATGTGCCACACTTTTCCTTTCCCTGTAACAGTAGCTTCCTGAAAACTAAACTGGATGACATCCAAAAGCACAGCGATGACAAGGCTTCAGGATGTCTGTTTACAGGCTTTGTGCTAAGCTAAGCAGCTGCTGCCTGCGGCCATTTACCCGACACACATGAGACATTAATCTTCAAATCCAGCTCTCGGCAAGGCCGTCGGTAAGTGCTTTTAAAGGCCATTTTTGGCACTTCTTTCAAAAAAGTTATGGAAAAGCTTGGGAGTAGTGAACAATCCTCTAAAGATGTCCAAGGAAACCTAACCCCAATCGGCTGCCGAAAGACACTTCCCAGCTTTTTAGTGGATGCTCAACTTCGACAGCAATTTCCAAAAAAACGATGGAAAACATTTCTATTGAGAGTTCACTTCATTTGAATGTTTAAAAGTTTGCAAACCTTAAATTGACAGTTAGATATAAACATAGTTGGAGACGGAGTACAGTTTTGCACCTGACAGCACAAAGACTCGTAGGACTGTTAATGTTTAAACTGTTAACTGATGACTGAAGTGATTAAAGACCACTAGTGTTCCCCTTAAATGTGTGTTAATGTTGAATAAAGCAGCATTCCTGAAGTTGCTTGGCGTATAAATTACTGGACTCCCAACCTCTGCTGTCAAAACTAAGTCATGTTTGCTGAATGTATATATAGTGGTTTTCTACACTAATCTATCCAATCTTTCTATCCAACACTCACGCTGATGAGTGCATCGGGTTCAGCATCTTGTCCGAGGACACTTTGAGATGAAGCAGTCAGGGATCGACCCGCTAACCACGCGGTGAGTAGATGACCTGCTCTACCCACAGCCGCGCCACAGTTATGTTACAGTACTAATATTATTAATGTCCATCAACTCAGAGAGGAAGTATGCAGTGAAACGCGAAGAACTCAACACATCCTCCTGTTGAACCCACTGACACTGTGACTTTTGGATTCTTCACCATACCCTCATAACTCTGCATGTAAGAATGTACAGGGCTCATCTCGCCTCATCTCTTTCTTTCCTCTGTTCGTCTGATGCATCACACGCCTGGAGCCTCTAGCTTCTTCCCTGTGTGTCTATCTAGGAGAAACATCATCACTAGGCACTGCTCAGATTTGTAACATTTTGTATACAGTGAACTCACTGCATTGTATAACCCGTCTGACCCGAATGCATGTAAATATTATGGCTGTGGACAACGTAGAGCCAGTAAACTACATGGGATGCAAAGTACTGCATCTGTCAGCATAGTCAAAAGTGTTGTGTTCAGTCATGTGTGTGTGTAGCGTACATATGTGTCTTTCTATCCCTTTTTTCCTGTTTTGGCTCTCATTACAATCTGATACCTCTATCCATCTGTTCACAAAGGAGAGTGAGACAGAAGACGGGAGGAGAGGTGGAAGAGTTGGCCATCACTCTTCATCCATGCCCCTCCTCTTCCTGCTTTATCTGCTTTCTGTCTTTGTCTTATAGCTCCCTACCCGCCTCCTCTCTTCTCCTCAACCTTCCCATCCCTCTCTCTAGTCCCTCCTCTCCTGCCTGTCTTTCTTCTACTCCCCCTTTCATCTTCGGTTAGAGCCAGTATGGAGCTCTGCTTCATCTGAAAACCCAGCAGGTGTGTGGTGTGTCTAATTGTTCGTAAGTGTGTGTGAGTGTGCAAAATGTGCTCTAAAGTCTTGCGCGTGAGAGCTTTTTTTTCCTCGCAAGTCACACTGTGCCTGTGTCTGTAGCTACTGTGTGTAGTGTGCCTGTGTGAGATATCTCGTTTCCTCAGGGGAGGCCAGGCCCATTTCCACTGTCTGCTGCAGCCAACCAACCCAGCAGTGCATCGATAATCTATTAGAGTAAAAATACACACACACACACACACGCACGCACGGATAAGCTTGTTCATCTTACCTGCCACTGTTGAGAACACTCTGGATGTGTATGGACTAAGTGGGTGGCCAAATGCCTGTACCTGAAAAGCAAGCATACCACAGAGATTACAAATAATTCACACTTTTCCACAGCAGCACTGGCCAATAGAAATCAGACTGAGTAAAAAGCCACTTCACACAGACCAACACTTCCACTGCATGTTACACCCATTTGACATAAAGTAAGTAGCTACTGAACTTTGCACTTATCTTAATATTTTGCATCAAAACTGCAGGCATTTGTATAAATTTTACCCCCTGACCCCACCCCCACCCACTTCCTGCTTTGAGCAGAATCTTTTTCTGGTAATGTGAGAGATGGGAATGCTTACAAAATTGGACATGAATATCCAAACAAATGGGACCAAGATGAAAATTTGGGCAATGTTGTCTACAAAGTCATCATGCGTGTGCCGACAGATTATTCAGGAGAAGTATCGCTCTATCCACTTGAACTTTTATCTCTGTGATACATCCTGGTTCTCCTCCACTGTGTCAGAAGAGCACACTTTTACACTTCTGGGAAGCGGCCGAATTGTCAAGGAAGCTGGAAACCGGGGCAGGTGGTGGACAAAAAAATAAAAATACTATTTTCATGAAGCGTGCTGGCACGTGTTGCAGTCAAGGTTGTTAGTGTTGAATGCGCTCTCCCAGAAACCTCAGCATCTTAGAGTGAAGTTACATTCCTGTCCCCCAAAACCCATGCACCTGATCACACCCTCGGCTTTGAAAGTGTAAAGTCTTAAACTGAAAATGGCGGCTTGACTCATCATCAGAGGAAAGTCGGATCAGTTTGAATTAATGAAGAAGACTTTGATTGGGAGATTGGCCAATCACAGACGCTGTTTCCTTGACTTTTTTTCTGTCATATTCCTTAAATAATCCTGGCTTCTATAGTTTTATAGTATTTTTAACTAAAAAAATATTGAACTCCAAGCTGATTAATTTATTTGCCTATTATAATGCCATTGAACACAATGCAAAAAATGTAACACTCAAACATACTTCAGTATAGGGCTGGGCGATATGGCCTAAAATTCATATCGCGATATAATTTGAAGCATGCGCGGTAACGATATATATCGCAATATATTATTTTCTTCTGTATAACGTATTTTCCACACTATAAGGCACACTTAAAATCCTTTAATTTTCTCAAATATCGAGAGTGTGCCTTATGTATGAATTCTAGTTGTGCTTACTGACCTCGAACCGATTTTGGCGTGCAGAAATCTGTTAAAAAATGTTTTAGTACAACTTTGGTAAGCCGCACTGCTTAATGGATTGTCAGAGCATTACAACTGCCGTAGTGAGGAGCTTCGCGGAGTAATCTGGGTCCAAAACTCCGTCTACTTCAGGTCCCAAAGTCAAACGAACACTAAGAGTTAAAAACGGTCTAAATTCTTTCATCTTTAATTAAATCATCAGCGTTGCTGCTTTATCGGGTGTAACAATTAAGTTTAACATCCATGCATCCATGAAAACAGAATTTATTAAATTTAACGGAGTTACAAGTTAACAGGAAGTTAGCTCGCTAGTTTACACCTAAACATTTCATA